GAGAGAGAGAGAGAGAGAGAGAGAGAGAGAGAGAGAGAGAGAGAGAGAGAGAGGCCTTGCGCTTTTTTTCTTTTTGGGCGGACCTGTTTTTTTTTTTTTTTTTTTTGTGCCGCATCGGTTGCGATGCGCGGTGCGGTGCGCGAGGCGCGGCAGACGTGCGCTGAGGCGCGCACCTCAATGCGCCGCAACTATGGTTCCACTTCAGCAACAGTTTTGCTGAGCACGTGGCTGCACAAGAGTGAGCTCCCACCATTATTACCGCAGTATCGAGACTGAAAGTGGCCCCAGATGTGCAATCAGACTCGCGTTCATTCACACTTCACACGTATGCAAACAGGTTGCGCAGCAAACTGGCGCCAAGCGCCCACTCAGAACTCAGAGATATAGTACCAAGAACTCAGTTCAGATACAAATTCACTTCCACTGGCTATGGCGGCACATCGCCTTTACAACTATCTGTCGTCAGTCACTCAACACTGCTGTTCGCATACAGGATCACCCTGGATACCCCACACGCGACACCCTGTACACCTGCGCACACACTCACACACGCCTACAGCTATGGCAGCTATGGCCGCTTCTACCCTAGCGCTATGGTTAACTCCTTCTCGCCCTCTTCGTCCTCGGGCTCACTGCCGACCACCTCGCACAAGTCGCTATGGCAGCGCTTCCGCATGCTTACGCAGGAATGAATGAATGGCTGGGCGCTGCCTCCTGATTTATACTTCTGTAGCTCGCTGGTCTGGCCCTTTTCCCTCGGCCCATTGTGCACACAGTCCCGTATGGCACTTGCTGGACTGGACTGGGACTGACTGGACCGTAATGCTGACTGCATGGGGTTGGACCGCAACCTCGCTGCAGTCGCACTGCCAACGCACTGAGGTTGGCTCCACCACTTGCCCACTTGCCTCTGTCTAAACGTGGACCGACTCCGAAAGGCCACTTCCGGAAGTCTGTAGGCTTGGCCTTTCGGTACTGTCGCAGCTACGACCTTGACCTTTCAGGACTGTTGCAGCTACGACCTTGACCCTTCGGAAAGGCTACAGCTACAACTTCTAGAACTCACTAGGTCTCCTATCCGACAGGTCTACAGATCAAACCCCTACCCCTACACCGACCTACGACAGACAACAACAACTGTCAAACACAGGTCATGGGTTCAAACACTCGGGGTCAACACAGATAATGTACACAGGTAAGGTGAGAACTAGGGATCGAAACCTGGGATCTGCACTCGCTACTGCTAACAGGTGAAAACCGTTTCAGATGCATCCATAAGGACCGAACGTTCAATTCAGAGGAAGACGGTAGAACGGTGGAGGAGGAGGAGAGGAACAGAAACCAAGTTCAGTGTAAGCATGTTGAGTGGAATAGTGCAGCAGCAGCAGCAGCAGCAGCAGCAGCAGCAGGAGGAGGAGGAGGAGGAGAGGGAGAGGGAAAAAGTCTTACCGTGGAGGAGCAGTGGCAGGAGGAGGACGAGGGGGACGAGGACGAGGAGAGGGTAACCAGTTCAGTGGCATGGTAGACGAGAAGGGGGAGGAGGAGAAGAGGACCACAGACCAGTGTAAGCACGTTGAGTGGGTTGGTCCACAAGTAGTAGTAGTAGTAGTAGTAGTAGTAGTAGTAGTAGTAATAGCAGTAGTAGTAGTAGTAGTAGTAGTAGTAGTAGCAGTAGTAGTAGTAGTAGTAGTAGGAGGAGGAGGGGATAAAAGACCCTTGTGCATCCTTGTGCAGGGCCATGGTAATTCTCTGTATGTAGAGAGTTATCTTCTATGGTTAAGAATTAAGCTTTCACTTGGCGACAACAAATACATGACTATAATTTACTATGTCTAACTAGTTTTTTTTTTGTTCCCAATACTAAGATATCCCCAGGGAAAATCGGTTTTTCTCTTGCAATTATAGATGAGAATGAGCAGATGATTCTAAAAGGGGATGCTCATATCACCCACTCTAGCACACCGACTAACAGAAAACAAAGAAGAAGAAAAAAAGGAAAAAAGGAAAAAAAGAAAAAGGAAAAAAAAAAAAAAAAGAGAAAAAAAAGAATGAGAAGATGAGAAACAAAGTCGAGCGGTAACCATGTTGAGCGGCATTGTGCATGAAGAGGAGAGGAGGCGGAGAGGAGGAGGAGGAGGAAGAGGAGGAGAAGCGAAACAAACTCCAGGGTAAGTATGTTGAGTAGCATGGTGTACAAGGAGGAGGAGGAAGGCGAAGAGAAAGAAGGCTTTTCTCTTCATCATCGCACATTTGGCATGTAAACTCATCAGCAATACCAATAGCAAAGTCACAAGTAGACACAATTCAAAATGACAGATGATCGACAAGTACAAACACTCCTCAGCCATCAACGGTGCCGGACAAAACGAACACACACCTGCCTTCCCTTGGCCTTCGCTGCGGCTGCCTCTGCTTCTAAAACAGTTTGCTGTGGTCTGCACAAGCGAATGGCCGACACAAACCCAAACCCATACGCCGTCATTTAAACTCGATTTCGAAAAGTTCGACTAGAAAAACGAAGTAGCCCACTGCAATGTCTCGTCAGATACAGAACATATATAAGATCTTGCCGGCTGTCCAAAACAACAGAAAAAAAAAAAAAGAAATTGGAAGTTGTCAGTATCAAGTTCAATATTTCAAAGTCAATGAAAAGCGCCAAGTTCCCTGCTTGCCCGACTTGACCGGCAGTCTGCTAGGATTGCAGGGTTGGTTGGAGTGAGTAAAGTGGGGACCACTTTTCTCTCTCCGGGATGGGTATCGCTAACTCTGGGTGGCATGGTGACTCCTTATCCATCAGTCAAAATGCATCCTGGACAGACTGTCTGTCCACGTTCAACCTCCTAACGGATGAGTTGTGGAAAGTCCGACGAAACTGTCTGGCAAAGTCATGCTTCTTGTTTCTGGAGTTGTGTGCAGCGAACATGACAACACACACACATGCACACAGATGCACAAACACACAACCCCCCCCCCCCCCC